TGCATGGTTTATAGGGAAAGAGCGAATCGCTCTGGATGAATCATTCATTCAGGCACAAATACCTATAGCGATGAAGATATGTATACTTCCAGAGCTTTTGGGGGAATTATAATCAAGGCAATAAACAACGAGTGTGAGTGAGGAAAAGATAGAAGAGGATCAGGGTAAATGGTGCCACTGCAAGCAAGAGAAATTAAATTAAATTAATTAAAAGAAAGGAGGAGAAATGATTGGCTGCAACAAGACATGCAAAACAAAGTGGTATCACATAGAGTGCGTTAGCATGTCTTCTACAAGTATCCAATAAGGAAAGTGGTTTTGTCCAGCATGCTGCCCATCCTTGAAAAATAAATAATTATTATTTACTCTCTATGCATTTGCACTTTATGTACATTTCACTAATACATAAACTTTCATGCATTTATATAATTGTATGATATATACATGGAATCTTTGTAATTTTAATTAAACTCTAATCATTAGTAGATTTTACTTTAATTGTAATTGTAGTTGTGTAAAAGTATTGTATTGTCATTATTATCTTTTTATCATAATTGATCTTTTCATTAGTCCTTGCAAGCAGCAAGATTATAATTGACTATTACTCTGAAGAGTGATACTTTGTTCGATATACAATATTACATACAATATAACATAAGTATAATCCTTTGGTTTAAATTAGGCGTCACTGGGAGAGTGTACTGGGGCAGTGACAGGGTTTCCCTTGAGTCTCCATCTCCAGTTCAGTGTAATGAAGTGATTAGTAATATTAATAATAATCACAAGTGGATTTACCTCTACTCCTCATCTACTAATAGTACGGTATCTCTACTATCATCAACTAAACTGCATATACTAGAGTACTAGACCTGATGAGAATTGAGATATTGTTCACTCCTTAATTTGATTGTATCCAGTACTTGTGTATAGATCTATACTGTTTAATAATAAAACAATACAAGAAGTAGTCACCAATGGCCACTCCATTAGTGATAGAGGAGTTACTAATATCTGTCAAGCACTTGAACACAACTCTACACTTACCTCATTAGATCTTTCTGATAATTCTCTCATCACTTCTACTCCGGCAGTGGCGGAGCTGGAACTAAACTGATGCCAGGGCCCGGATGTGGGTGTGTCCACTTTCTAACTTTTTCTTTGGGTATTTTACTTGAAAAGTGCTTGCTAATTACTTATATGCACCTGTCATAGTATACCCTTGTTAGTACTCTGGTGAGGCTTGTGGTTGGCTTTATCTAAACTTTAGGGAAGGAATTATTTACATTGCATCTAATGAATCTCATTACAGAGCTTTGATGCCCGGGCCTAGGCCCGTGTGGGCCCGGGTTCAGCTCCGCCACTGCTTCTACTAGTGGACAGGCTCTTTCTCACCTCCTCCTCCTCAATAACTCATCACTAGATGTACTGAATCTAAAGAATATTTCATTGTCTACTAAGTCGATACATACTCATCCTCCAGTCACTAATGGATAATAACAAGATAAGGAGACTCTGGCTCGACAAGCGACACAAAGAGACTCATGTATTAATACTAGTCCTAGCTATCACCTCATACAAGACAGAGTAGAGTAGAGGTAGATCCAACTAATGACTTAAAATCTTCGTAGGAACTTATTAAAACAATTTTAGCCACTGCATGCTTGCATCTTTTTAAGCAACCAATCTACATAAAATGTGTAGCCTTGAAATTATCCACTAACATGCATATCTTGTGCATCTTTCTCCTCCTCACACACACACACACACACACACACACACACACACACACACACACACAAATACACACTGATAGTTAATGATTTTTAATTAGATGTGTTTCGTCAAGGCCAAGGAATTTTTGGACTATATTATAGTAATTTGTATCAATAGCATCTTTCATTATATCACTGCACTAGTGATATCAGGTTTTATTCAGGCCTTTGGCTTTGAATTTATGATCCTTTGCAATTTTAGTGACTCTATCACAGTTTGTACAACATATGTGATAACTAACACATGGCGACATACAACTGCATAACAATAAGATGGTAAAATCATAGTAAAAATTCAGCTTTCAAATTAATACTATACACATTTGTGAGTACACACCAGTGCTTAACTTGCCAGTGGCGGAGCTGAACCCGGGCCCACACTGGCCTAGGCCCGGGCATCAAAGCTCTGTAATGAGATTCATTAGATGCAATGTAAACAATTCCTTCCCTAAAGTTTAGATAAAGCCAACCACAAGCCTCACCAGAGTACTAACAAGGGTATACAGGTGAATGTAAGTAATTAGCAAGCACTTTTCAAGTAAAATACCCAAAGAAAAAGTTAGAAAGTGGACACACCCACATCCGGGCCCTGGCATCAGTTTAGTTCCAGCTCCGCCACTGTAACTTGCCATATCTCTTGGGAAGAATGCCATAGCCTATTGAGCAGAAATGCAATTAATGTGGTGGATCTATCACAACAGATAACAGGACAAGCATGAGTAATATATAGGTATGATTTTTAAGTACTTACTATTATTGTATATCATTTATCCTGACGAGTGTCTTAGTATCTATTGTCGCAATATTATGTACTCTTGGTTTTATTGACTAGTTCTGGGTACTAAAATCATAAAAGTTAGAGTATATGCGTGAGTAATGAGACAGATCACATTATGAGACAAACCTTTGAATTGAAACAAGCTCTTGCTTACAATTTCTTTGCTACCTGACTTATAATTTTCTTGCACAAATAGTTTGAATAAACGCAGCTTTTTACTAAAAACTAATTTTCTAAAATTTTATTTATTGAAATCACGCCTACTAAGGTAATAATTATTACTAATAATGACCACGTTGCGAGTTACTACGGTCCTAGTGTGTTGTCTGCTCGAGTCTGTGTGAGTGTTTGGAGACT